TTCAGCCGCCATTTTCCAAAATGGCGGCCAACTTTGAAATTTCTTATGGAACACCCTGTATTTTATCATGTTTTCGGATAGAACATGCAATTTAAAAACTTTTTTATTCTTGAAATTTTTTCGATAAACCCACTCGTTTAGGAGCTACAGCCTATGGAAAAATGACTGCCGGTGTACATTTTACATCATGTAGCTCCAAAAAAAGTAGGTTTAGCGGAAATGCAAAGAGAAAATAAGTCAAATAAGTCTTAAAATTGCATCCACATTCCATTAAGACCATAAAATACACAGTTTTCCACTTTTCAAGTTTGCCGCCATTTTGGAAAATGGCCGCCATTTTTAAATAATAGAACTAATATGTTTAACAAATTTTATGGACTTTTTGGAATGGGATGCAACTTTAAGACTTATTTGACGTATTTTCTCTTCGCATTTTCGCTATAAACCTACTTTTTTTTGGAGCTACATGATGTAAAATGCACACCGGAAGTCATTTTTCCATAGGCTGTAACTTCTAAACAAGTGGGTTTATAGAATAAATTTTAAGAATAAAAAAGGTTTTAAATTGCATGTTCTATCCGAAAACATGATAAAATACAGGGTGTTCCATAAGAAATTTCAAAGTTGGCCGCCATTTTGGAAAATGGCGGATGATCCATGATCCGTTTTTTCATTTTCATTTTTTGATTTTTAAATATTGACTTTTTTACAAAAAAATTGCAATATTTCATAAATAAAACTTGATAACAAAAAATGGATTGCGGCATTGAGTTTAGCTTAAAAAAGTATTTCGAAATGATGGGTCACAACACCCCCTTCATATTTAAAATAATTTATCACATTTCAAAATGGCGGATCCAAGATGGCGGCCGAAAAAAATACATCAGTCATAACCAAATGAAAATAGGTCAACAATTACTGGTAGTGTATACTTATCTTTATCTAGCACTATTTTGAGATTATGGTCTTAGATTTTAAATGCACAATGTTAAAATGTGCTAAAAATACAGTTTTAAAAAGCCCTCATAACTTTAGAATGAATCAAGATTTTTAAAAACAGTTTGCGGCATTGTAATCAAGGTAAAAATCTAGTTTGAAATAATGGGTCGCAACCCCACCTTTACATTTGAAAAAAAAATTTTGCATCCAATATGGCGGATCCAAGATGGCGGCCGGAAATAACCACCTTGTCAAAATGAAGTTCCTACTACCCAACAATGTTTGGAAGTGGTCTGGGATTGATATTTGAAAAAATGTAGAAAAAAGTTGGGGGGGGGGACAATTAAAACTCACCCTGTATATAGATACATAAAAATTTGAACGAATGGTGTTTTTGGCCTCTGGGGACATCAAAATGAAAAAGTAAATCGGTCCCGGGCTTAAGTCTTACCATGAGACCTACGGTAATAGCTACTTCCCTATAGGGAAATTCGCTAAAATTGAAGAAGATTACATCTTTTACAAGAAAAGTATACAGACTGCCCCAAAAGTCCCGGACCGGTTTAATATTTTCTAAACGACAACAGATAAATCAATAAGATTTTGCACATCAACACCACACCTAAAAAACTACTTTTTTAAGGAACTATGAATTTTCTGTCATACCATGGGGACGTCCCGCAAGGAGTCAGAAGGAAATCTTAAATAGAAGCATAGGTTGATATGCACATCAAATTAAAGACCTTTACTAGCAGAATATAATGCCGCAAATTTGAACTCAAACGGATAACTGAATAAAAAATGGCAGCCGTTCAAAGATTTCTTGAATCCACCATTTTGAATCTTTGAACGACTGCCATTTTTTACTCAGGCGTTCTTTTGAGCTTGAATTTACGGCATTGTAATTTACTAGTGAAGACCTTTAATTTGATGTGCATATCGACCCATGCTTACGTTAACAATTTTCTTCCGATTCCTAGGGCTGTGCCCCCCGAGGAGTAAGCGTATAATAGCAATGCAAATTAAATTAATCTTTGAACTACTGTCATTCTTGACTCGGTTGTCCGTTTGAGTTCGAATTTGCGGCATTATATTCTGCTAGCAAAGACCTTTAATTTGATGTACATGTCAACCTATGCTTCTATTTAAGATTTCCTTCTGACTCCTTGCGGGACGTCCCCATGGTATGACAGAAAATTTATAGTTCCTTAAAAAAGTAGATTTTTAAGTGTGGTGTTGACGTGCAAAATCTTATTGATTTATCTGTTGTCGTTTGGAAAATATTAACCCGGTCCGGGACTTTTGGGACAGTCTGTATAATGTGTTTATTTTGTTTAAACAGATTACAAGTTATTACTTATTTAATTAATATCTTAATAAAATACTCCTTCCATCAGAAATAAATGTAAATTAGTATGCGAAACGGGACGAGTCCTATCCGCCCAAAGGAAATATAACGAATATTTTGGAAATCTTGACAAAATTTCCAGTACCTAATTTGACACTTTAATCATAAAAATTGATCCAAAATTTAGGCGAGGGAGAGGTAACAAAAATGTTGTGTTTTGGTGTTTTTTATTAAGAATTATAAAATACCCCCGCCGCAGCAAACCTGCAGACTAAGCGAATTTCCATTTAAGCCTGATTGGATTTAAACTAAAATGTCTACTTAAAAATATAACATTCATTTCCTATTTAGAATTAGTTTAACAAGTACTTAGGTTTGCTGCATCAGGAAGGGTAAAACTGGTTTTTTTATGTTAATAGTTAGTAAGAAATAAAAACATTTTCCAAATTTTATCAAAATATGTTCATAAACAAGCAAACTACAACAGTTTACTTGTTCTCCATAAGAATAACATGGGAATTTTAAATTTACATTTTTTTTTTAATTTTCTCCATAACCATTAGGCGCATAATAACGCTTCAATATACTAAATTATTTGTTTTTTTAAGCTCTACAAAATGGTTTAGAAAGAAATTGCTAAATTTGATGTTTTTTGTGTCAAAAATGGGAAAAACCTATTTTTACCCCATAAAACCCCCCGTAAACCCCCGTTCCCATAGTCCGATCATACTGGTTCGCGAACTCGTTCGAATAAATGTAGGTTTAAATGTTTATACCAAATTTCATCAAAATCGGATCATTTTTGCTCGAGTTATCGTGCTAACGGACACACACACACACATATATATATATCAATATATATATGAAAATAGAATAATAGGGCTACTATATATAAATAAAGATTAAACATTAATAAACTTAGTACCCGAGTAAAATTATTTATTAAAATATTTACTGACTATAGTTTCGGCTCTAAGGCCATTTTCAAAGTAAACAAAAATCAAAATAAAATATGTAAATAAATAAATAACATATATATTATAAAACCTTTCTAACTTGTAACATAATTTTGTCTTCATTGATTAATTTATATACTATATGATGTGTTGTACTTATTTTCATTAATATTTTCTCAATTTTGCTATTGTTTCATATATTGGATTATTTAATTTTGGAATCATTGTTTTTAAAATATTTGATTTGTTATTTTTGTAGTTCATACAAATATTAATTTCTTCTTTTACATTCAATTTTTCTCTGCCTTTTTCAATTTCTAATATTGTTAAGTTTTCTTCAATATTAGTAAACTTATGTTTGGATTTAAGTAAATGATCTGCAAAATTCGATTTCATTAATGTTTTGTTCTTCGATTTATATGCCAGTATATGTTCGTTGAATCTAACTGTCTGTTTCCTGATTGCTTTGTTAACACTCAAACATACCCCAATACAATTAAGCTACAGAACAAAAAATAACATTTAAAAAATTATACACAATAAAGCCAACAATCCTACAACAAACAATGTGTGTTGTACTTATTTTCATTAATATTTTCTCAATTTTGCTATTGTTTCATATATTGGATTATTTAATTTTGGAATCATTGTTTTTAAAATATTTGATTTGTTATTTTTGTAGTTCATACAAATATTAATTTCTTCTTTTACATTCATTTTTTTTCTGTCTTTTTCAATTTCTAATATTGTTAAGTTTTCTTCAATATTAGTAAACTTATGTTTGGATTTTAGTAAATGATCTGCAAAATTCGATTTCATTGATATTTTGTTCTTCGATTTATATGCCTGTATATGTTCGTTGAATCTAAACTTTAAAATTTCAATAGGTTTGTCCAATGTAGTAGTTGTCACAGCCAGAGCATTTAATTTTGTAGATAACAGATGCGTTGTATATGTTTGCTGTATTGTTTGTTGTAGGATTGTTGGCTTTATTGTGTATAATTTTTTAAATGTTATTTTTTGTTCTGTAGCTTAAATGTATTGGGGTATGTTTGAGTGTTAACAAAGCAATCAGGAAACAGACAGTTAGATTCAACGAACATATACTGGCATATAAATCGAAGAACAAAACATTAATGAAATCGAATTTTGCAGAGCATTTACTTAAATCCAAACATAAGTTTACTAATATTGAAGAAAACTTAACAATATTAGAAATTGAAAAAGGCAGAGAAAAATTGAATGTAAAAGAAGAAATTAATATTTGTATGAACTACAAAAATAACAAATCAAATATTTTAAAAACAATGATTCCAAAATTAAATAATCCAATATATGAAACAATAGCCAAATTGAGAAAATATTAATGAAAATAAGTACAACACATCATATAGTATATAAATTAATCAATGAAGACAAAATTATGTTACAAGTTAGAAAGGTTTTATAATATCATATGTTATTTATTTATTTACATATTTTATTTAGATTTTTGTTTACTTTGAAAATGGCCTTAGAGCCAAAACTATAGTCAGTAAATATTTTAATAAATAATTTTACTTGGGTACTAAGTTTATTAATGTTTAATCTTTATTTAAATATAAATATATTTTAAATACATTAAAACTTCTTCAATTTTATATTTTATTATAGTATATGAAAAGTTGATACTTATCGAGATATAATCAAAAACCCCCAAAATGCGTAACTATACCCCCCCTTCCCCCCCCCACCACCCCTGGCTCACCACCTAGGAGTCAGGACTTTTGGTATGTTAACACCCTAAGCCCCCTGAACAAGTTTCTGAAGGGATCGCTTAGTTACCTGCTCACGCACTCTACATCTCATTCATTGACTGGTATAATAGGGATGGAATGTTTGGCTCTACCTATCGTCAATGCTATAATATAAAACATTTAAAAACTTTCAAAGAACCAAATTGGTTACCTAATTAATCTGTGCCAAATATACCTTCTTAAAGATAGTAATAATGTAATAATTATAAAGCTCAAAAAATTTGTTATATAACAATCATGAAACTAGAAATTCATCATAAAATAACATCTCTCAGATAATAACATTAATTTCATACTATTAAAACTAATTTTATAAAAATATATGTATTTTCTAAAATAATGTCAATATCATCTAATAAAAAATTAGGTTTAACTTTATCCTAAGAAAGACACGTTCCTTGGCTGTCAAAGTCAGGAGAATGGAGGGAAAGAATGTCCTGAAATGTCAGTTTGCCCGTTATCATCCTAATGCAGGCGATGCTCTTGAACAGCTGATCCCCAGGAAGATCATCTGGTAGCCGAGTGAGGAACTGAGATCCTCGTACAAAATCCAACTGCAGAAGTATATCTTGACACAGGTGCAGTACACCTACAACATACAAATTAGTCATGACAACAACTAGCTCCTTCTTCTTCTTTAAACACAAAATGAGGAAAAATCAAATTCTAGTTGTTTTAATAAGAAAACCTGGTAGCCATAACCAAACAATTAAAATGAGCGAGGGTGAAAAAAAACTTTTTTTTGTTAAAATCTTTTTGTTTGATGAAATGTATTTTACGCCACACTACTCTATTTTAAAGAGCTTCCCACACAAGGATTTAGTCCAGAAAACAGCTGTCTGCCGCCGGATTAATCAAATGGGGTTTCATTTTGTACTACTGTGACGCTCGCGTCACAGCAGAGCTGCTATCAACCGGTTCAATCCGCTTTAGTCGCGAACACTGGAGGGAGTAGGGAAGGGGTAGAAGGAGGTCAGTCGTTGCCTGGAGTCCCCGGAGTGTTCACATCGACGAGGAACGGGATGAAATTGATAAGTTATAGTATTAAGCTAAATCATTAGTTATTTAAATATCATGTTCTAATTCTTTTCAGTACGGGGGGGGGGGGGGGGACTAAGGGGTTAGGGATTCTATCGTCAATTAAATATTCCATTATGTAAACTGAGTTATTAGTACCTTTCGGGCCCATAAGGCGCAAAAGGAGTTTTTAGCTTATTCTTATTTATTAGTTTAATTGGTAGAATGCATTACTAAATTTAGATCATCAAAATGGCTGTGATATAGGTGTGGCTTGGCTCAGTTATTTAATTATAGTTAAATAACATATTATGACTTAGAATGATAGCACGCACAAGAAATCTCTTCGTGTTCTCGAAGAATTCTCGTGTTAATGTACTGTAATGAGTTTTTACCGGACACCAACCAGCTGATTTTATTTGGCAACTAGCTGGCCCGACAGACGTTGTCCTGTCCTAATGTTTTTAGCTTATTCACCTTTTGGTTGCAAATTAGCTGTTGTCATAAATTTAAAAAATAGTACTGCTGCACCCTGTTGGTAAACCTATTAACATTTTTATGCTATTGAACATCACAGAATCAAATTGTTTAGTTGAACCAAGATTCTTTAATTCCATTTAAATATGAGTACTCATAAGGTTAACATGGGAAACTCCAGAGCCACTGGGGTTGAGCCCTTTTGACGGATCTGCACCAAACTTCACACAAACCATCCTTGAATAATGCCTGAAAGTTTCATTACAATCTGTCGAGCGGTTTCCGAGTCCATAAAGGACAAACAAACAAACAAACATACATTGGATTTATATATATATAGACTAGCTGGCCCCTCAGACGTCGTCCTGTCCTAATGTGGATTTATGTCAATGCTCATTCATTTTTGTTACATCCTAAATGTCTACCTTTACTTATTGCTTATTTATTCTATAACTATTATCAGCTGGTTATAATGTTTACTTGTTCACTTTGTTTTTAAGTTGTGTTGAATAAAGTTGGTTAAAATTGTACTTTAACAAATACATTTATTATTTGTTCTAATTACATACAGAACAATTTGGCGACGATGGAGGTGAGTACAAGTAATTCAAACACCTCTCAAAACATTCAAATGATTAACTCAGCATTGATTGGACCCTTTAATGAAAGATATGAAACATTGGAAATGTATATGGAAAGACTAGAGATATCATTCATTTATAACAACATTTCGGAAGATGAAAAGAAAATTACGTTACTTCACTGTATTGGATCAGACACTTACAGTAAACTTAGGGATATATTGCATCCTGTATCACCTATAACTAAATCCTATGCTGAATTAGTTCAAACTCTAAATTCACATTTTACACCGAAACCAAATGAAGTATCAGAGACATTCAAATTTCATTGTAGACACCAATATGAAGGAGAAAACGTTTCTGAATTTTCATTGGATCTTAGAAAGTTGTCTAGATATTGTAATTTCGGCACATTTCTGTCAAAAGCCCTGAGAAACCAATTCATACTCGGTCTAAGGGATGAAAAAATACAGACAAGGTTAATTACTCTAAGTGACAGTGATTTGAGTTTTGAAAAAGCTGTAGACATGGCTCAAGTAATTGAAAAGGCTCAAAACGATTCAATAACAATCCAATCAAAATTCAATCATGAAAACAATGAATTGCCGGTTAACTTAAATGTTGTACAACAGAAAAGTTTTCAAAAACCTAAAAACAGTACCAATCTTAAACAATGTTACCGTTGTGGAGAGTTACATGAATACATATCTGAATGCAAACACAAAAATACAACATGTAACTTCTGTAAAAAAATAGGGCATCTAGCAAAGATTTGTTTTAGGAATCCTAATGCACCTATCAAATTGCAAAGACAAAATAAGACCACATTTAACACTACCTCAAGAAATGTAAAACAAATAACAGACTTGTTCGAAGATCAAAGTGAAATATTACTACGACAAAATATGAACAATTCTGGTAGATCCCTCTATAAGGAAACTAATGTTATTGACATTTGTTCTATGAATACCTCAGAAGATAAATTTAGGAAAATTATGTTAAACATAAAAATAAATGGGAAAACTATTCCGTTTGAACTAGATACAGGAGCAGGGGTATCTTTGATGTCAAAAAGTAACTTTTCTAAGTTTTTTCCAAAACACAGACCTTTAATGAATCCAGACATAATCTTAAGAGATTTCAACAAACATGAATTTGTTCCATTGGGTAAAACCATTGTTCAGGTTGGTTACGGTAACCAAACCAAATATCTTCCATTGTATATAGTCGATGGTAATAGAGATACGATATTTGGTAGGGAATGGCTGAGATCGATTAAAATAAATTGGTCAGACATAAATAACGTTCACGGAGCTGACTTGAATAGAGTTAAACACTCAAATCCCAAAGTACACGATATTTTAATGGAATTTAAATCCATATTTGAACCAAGAGTTGGAAGTTTCAAAGGGGGAGAAGCACTTCTTAACTTAAAGCCTGACACTACACCAGTTTAAAAAAAAGCTAGACCACTACCTTATGCTTTGTTACCAAAAGTTAGTGCAGAAATCGACAGCCTAGAAAAAGAAGGTATAATTACAAAGGTGAATCAGAGTTCTTGGGCTACTCCAGTTGTACCGATTATGAAGGCAAATGGGAATATCAGACTGTGTGGAGACTACAAAGTAACCCTCAATCCCCATTTGGTAATACCAGAACACAACATGCCCCGCATTCATGATATTTTGGCTAGAATGGGTAATTCGACTAAATTTACAAAGATTGATATATCCGAAGCTTACCTACACATGCCAGTAAAAGAAGAATACAGAGAATTGCTCACAATTAATACACACAAAGGTCTATATCGAGTAAATCGTCTACCATTCGGAATTGCAAGTGCACCTGCTATTTGGCAATCAGCAATGGAAAATATTCTACAAGGTATTGATGGTGTTGATGTTTTCTTTGACGATGTCAAAATAACAGCCCACAGTGAGGAAGAACATTTGAAAAGACTCCGTGCTGTATTAAATCGGTTCAAAGACAACAATTTACACATTAATGTTTCTAAATCTCAATTCCTTGTACCAGAGATTGACTTTCTTGGTTACCGTGTCTCGTCAAAGGGAATAAGTAAAAGTAAACATATTACTGAAGCAATAAGAAACCTGAAGAGACCAAGTAATGTGAAAGAAGTTAGACAAATCCTTGGGTTGATAAGTTACTATCGAAAGTTTATTCCAAACTTAAGTGAAAAGATGCAAGCCATTATTAATCTCACAAGAGCTAATGTACCTTTTAATTGGACTGAAGAATGTGAACGAGATTTTCAATTGGTGAAGGAGGAAATGATGTCAGAGAATATACTATGCCATTTTGACCCACACTTACCACTCATTCTAGCAACAGATGCTAGTCAATCTGGAATTTCGGCAATTCTTTCTCATGTGTTTCCGGATGGAAACGAAAGACCTGTTGCATTTGCTTCCAAAACACTATCACAAACACAAAAACAGTACAGTGTCATACAAAAAGAAGCCCTGGCAATTTATTTTGGAGTTAAACACTTTTACCAATACCTTTATGGACGTCATTTCACCCTAGTTACAGACCACAAACCCCTGGTATCAATATTTGGACCGAAAAATGGAATACCATTTATGGCCGCAACAAGACTACAACATTATGCTATATTCCTTTAGGCATTTTCATTTGACATAAAGTATAAATCAACCAAAGACAATGTTAATGCTGATGCACTTTCAAGACTCCCTAAAAATGTTGAAGAAGCTGCTGTTATTGACTCAGCCGATGTTCATGAAATAGAACAAATCTATACTTTACCTGTCACAGCTGAAGAAATAGCAAAAAATACACAATCTGATCCAGATCTTAGAGATATTTATCAATCACTAATCAGAGGGGAGCCAATCCATCACCCGATGTCTTCTAACGAACAAGAATGGTCAATTCAGCTTGGATGCTTATTAAAAGGGAATCGTGTGGTGATTCCCAAACAACTTCGTGCAAGAATTTTGAAAGAACTTCATGAGGCTCATGTGGGTGTAGTTCGCATGAAGGGACTAGCTCGTTTGTATGTTTGGTGGCCTAAAATTGATGCAGACATTGAGAATATGACCTTAAATTGTTTGGGATGTCAACGAGTACAGCATGAATCACCCAAAGCACCAGTTCACCATTGGGAATATCCTTCAAGGCCTATGCAAAGAATTCATGTTGATTTTGCTGGACCATTTTATGGCCATTATTTTCTCCTAATTGTGGATGCCTACAGTAAATGGCCAGAAATTGTAACACTTACAACTATAAATTCACATAAAACCATTGAGGCTTTGCGTAAATTCTTCGGCTCCTTTGGAATCCCTGACATATTAGTGTCTGACAACGGAAGGCAATTTGTTTCATTAGAGTTTGAAAAATTTCTTAAATCAAACGGAATTAGACACAAGAGATCAGCACCTTACCATCCTGCTACATGCCTCAAAAATTTCATTAACATTCAGTCACATTAACATTCATTAACATTCATTCAGTCTACATTGTGTGTGTG